CCTATTTCCCCTCAAACACATCCCTAGGCAACTACTCATTTACTTTCTGTCTCTATAGATTGGCCAAGTCTGGACAATTCACGTAACTGGAATCATACATTACATATTCTTTTGTGACTGGCTTCTTTCACTTAGCATGATTTCAAAGTTCATCCATGTTATAGCATGTATCATTCCTTTTATAGCTAAATAATATTCCACTGTATGGATACACCGAATGTTGTTTACTCATCCATCAGTCAATGGACATTGGGTGGTTTCTGCTTTCTGGCTACTATGAATAATGCTGTTATGAACATTCTTGTACACATCTTTGTGAGCTTACAGGTTTTCAATACCTTGGAGTGGAACAGGTGGATCATGTGATAAATCTGTTTTACCTTTTGAGGAATTGCCAGTTTTGTAAAGGGGTTACAGTATTTTACATTCCTACAAGCAGGGTATGTAAGTTGCCATTTCTCCACATCCTCATTAACACTTGCCTTTCTGATGGTAACCATCAAAAGTGGTATCTCGCCCAGGCTGGTTTGGCTCAGCAGTTAGAGCATCAGCCTGCGGTCCAGAGAGACCCGGGTTCGGTTCCTGCTAGGGCACGTACTTCGGTTGCAGTTTGTCCCCGGCCCTGGTTGGGTCGTGTGGGAGGCAGCCACTCGATGTGTCCCTTTCACATCAGTGTTTTTCTCTCTCTCTCTCTCCCTCTTCCTCTCTCTCCCTCCCACTCTATCTGAACAAAAAATGGAAAAATGTCCTCGGGTGAGGATAAAAAAAAAAAAAGTGGTATCTCATGTGATTTTGATTTGCATTTCCCTGAAGGCTAATGATGTTGAGCATCTTCTCACATGCTTATTTGCCATTTATAGATTTTCTTTGGAGAAATAGCTATTCAAATTCTTTCCCACTTTTAAATTATTTTTTATTATTGAGTTATGAGTTATGTGTTCTGAATACAACTCTCTTATCAGATATATGAGTTGCAAATTTTCTCCCATTCAGTGGATTGTTTCACTTTCTTGATGGTGTCCTTTCAAGTACAAATGTTTCGGAAATGCCTGTATTCTGCCTGCCTTCCTGTATGTCATTCTTCATAAATATCGAATTTCATGTTCAATATCTTGCCTGGTATTTTGTCTAAATATAGGATTTGTTTCAAAATCTCAGAATTTTGAAATGTCCCCTGATCTTCAAGAACCCAGTGGTGCTGGCATTTAAACACGCACTTTCCTTCCTCGATTGACTTCCATCTGGTGAGTTCCTTCACAAAGGAAGTATCTGGTCCATTGACGGCATGGCCTTGTTGTCCAGCGCTGAATTTATTCTTCCCCCAAATATATCTTTTCTGACACTGTTAGGGGCTTTTTGATGGTGAAGATGCTGAGTTGGCCATCAATTAACTGTTCCCCTCTCTTTAAAGATATTTTAACCCTTTATTATCCCTCTTACTTTTAATCACCTATCATTCAAGTTCTCACAGTAGTTAAGTAGGTTTCCAGGGACATGCTTTTACTTTTGACCTACATGAATATTGATGATAATGAGTTTTTCTGTAACAGAATTTTAGTGTGTTCTATGGTAAGTAAAAGAATCAAGTCCTTCTTGTCATATACATGTTTTAAGTATTTCATTCGTATCACACATTGTTAATATAACAATCAAGTATTCATGATAATGAGATTGTCACTGATTGTTTTTCTAACTGACCTGGATACTAGTGTGTCCAAAAGATCCAGAAATACAGTGTACTTATTACACTTTTTTTTAGAATAAAGATAGATTGGACCTACTGCTTTAAATTTAGAGGTATTTCACTTGGAAAGTTTTTTGGAGGTTGAAGAAAATCATTAGAGTATATTATTTGAAAGTATAATGAATTAACATCTATAAATGTGTCCATCCCCATGTTTCTTGACTTTCAGACACCCTGTAAATTACTGTTTGTCCAGCTCTGTGAATTTCACTGAGGCAGTAAAAAGACCCTAGAGCCTTTTCTTACTGTATGTGGTGGATGGATGAGGACCCAAGGCCCTAACCTGATAGCACATCTTCTTCACTAGCAGATATGAGGAACAGCTGCATAAAACTCACCATTGTCCTCATGGTAGGCAAACTGCTGGGATGCTGTCCAATACATCACAGTGTCCCCTTTATGAGGGCCCCAGAAAAATATCTCCTGTGGTTCAGGGCCAGGCAAAGTCATTCCTCCTGCACAACTGGTATGTCCTCACCCTGTAGACATATGGATTTTCTAGCTCTTTTCTCGTTCCCTTAACCATTAGGACACTAAGCTAGTTTGGGGGTCTAGCTCTAGCTTTGGAAGCTTTTAGTTTTCAGCTATTCCTTTTTTTTTTTTTTTTTAATCCTTCCCGATTCCTTTAGTCAATACTACTGTTCTCTGCTAGTGATAAAACTCCCTTCTGAAATAAGGTGGGAAATCATCACCTTAAACTAGACTGGTACCATTTAGAACTAAAAATACTAGATTTTAAATACTTTAACTTATTCATTTTATAACTTTACATATAGGTTAAATGCTTTCACTCTAGACCAGTGCTGTTGGACAAAAACAGCATTAGGGCTACAAGGAACTTTAAATATTCCAGTAACCACATTTTAAAAAGTAAAAAGAAGCAGGTGCAATTGAGATGGTTTACGTCTTGGGAAGGTCAGCGTGTACTTCATAGTTGGAGGACATCTCGATGTGGACCATACCTGCAAGTGCTCACGGGCCACACGTGGCAAGTGATTCCTATACTGGACTCTGCAGGTCTAAAGACAAAGGTTCTGAATGACCAGAGGGGCAGGAGGGCTTCTAAGATAATACAATTGTGCCTAACCTATATTCATAATTGGAGTTGATTGAAGATTTCTCAACTCCTGGGGGTTTCTGAGGTAAACACTAGGTCTAAGAAAGGAGGATTTCTCCCGACAGGGGTAATGACCACAAAACCCCAAGATTTCTGGATATTTTTTAACTTCTCAGTGTTTATTTTTTTCTTCACTGGACCACCCTTGACTCCTTCTAAGAAACTATGTAATATCAAATGGTTTTGGACAGCTAGAAAGAAAACAAAGAGAGATGCATTTTCTTTATTCTACACTTCATCGTGACTAGTACTAAAAATTACTCTAAAGCGTGCTTATAAGAGTATAAGACCAAAGAACAGAAACTCCTGTACTTGTTGTAATCAACACAACAACAAAATTTTTGTTTTAATTCTCCTTGTTTTGGAACCAGTTCTAAAACTTCACACCTTGGTTTGGATAATAAATGTGTTCTTTAAATCTGGACCAAAGGATCAAAAGTGTAGTTGGATTCCTGAGAGTTAAGAATATGATTTTTTAGGCAAATTATTTAACCTACAAAGCCCCGTTTCTACATCTGTTAAACAGAGTAATAACTACATCATAGAATGGCTATGAAGATTAATAATGTTGTATATAAACCTTACAACAGGTGAACAGTAAGCACTAAACGGTACCTATCACCACCATAATTACAAAAGATTATTAAATCCATATATTCTTAACCTGGAGTCTGCAGATACCTTGTTCCAGGATAAACTGTGAGGAGTGAGGTGGGGGAGAATTCCTAAAACTGGATAGGAAAAAGGATTACACCTAAATCTTTACTAACATCTAAGTAACGTTCAGCATTTCCTTCATTAGGAATGCTGGCAACATCACAGTAGCATTAAAAGAACCTGTCATTTTGCCCCAATATAAGTCATTGATATTGTTTTCATATTTCTGATGTTTCAGGCATCTCAAAGTATCTTTTATCACCTTCTACAATTCTAGTTGTTAGACCTGCTGCTAAAAATCTTGTTAATTAATGCAATAGTAAGGAAATAATACTATGTTATCAATGTATTGTTTTTAATTTCACTGTCACTGGTTTCCTTTGTAACCCTAGTTGTTTTATTTCATGCACTTCAAGCATATTCTGAGACAGGCTCCACGGGTTTCACAAAACTCGTGTGGACACACACACACACACACACACACACACAGTGAAGAATCCCTCAATTTTATCTCTCAGCTTCCAGAAAGCCAGCCAAGGGAGCCCTGCTTGGATGAGCCCATTCCCAAAGTCTCGGGCTTGTTTTTCAGTGTGTGGCTTGACACCGTTCTGGTCCCTGATTCTACATCAATTAACCTTTTTGGGGAGCTCACCCTCAATTTCTAGAAGGTGCCTATCCTGTTCAAGGTTCCATGTTCAAGTCGACAAGCTAGTTTTCTGGGATGTTCGGTTGACACATCCCTGGCCCCCTGGCTGCCAGGCCCCTGGCGAAGGTAGGTAGTGGTTCTGAAGCGTGGTCCCAGACCAGCACCACCAGAGTCACGCGGGAGCTCGCTAGATTTGCAAACGTCCAGGTCACCCCTCAGACCTCCTGGAGCAGGAACTTTGGGTCTGTCGATCTGTGTGTTGTTGAGCCTCCCGGGAGGTGCATGCTGCAGTTTGAAAACCACCGCGCTGGGGACTCGGAAGGCGGCCCAACCCTGGGGGACGCTCCGACCGCGAACCCCGGTGCGAGCTAACGGGGCTCCTGCAACGCGGGGGAGGGGAGGCTGGAATTTCAACGCGGGAGGTGCGAGGGGCGGCCACCGAGTCGAAAGCGGGGGCTAAGGGGCTCGTTGTGCTTCTGCACCCCAATTTTACTTACTAATTACCCCGGCCTCTAGGGTGACTGATGGAGATTAGCCCCAGCACCGACCCCGCGGCGCCCACTGTACGGTGAGAGCATGGAAGTCGAGGGAGGGCGTGCGAGCGCGCGGAGAGGACAGCCCAGACCTGAGGGCTCCAGCGGGGCAGCGCTGCCCACCTGCCCCGTGCCCGGCCCGGCCGGCCGGCGCTGGCCCGCGCACTCCCTGCTGGGAACTGCGGTCCCGGAAGCCCACCCGCCCCAGGCTCTCCGAGCGCGGTCGCCTCTGGGAAACTACAAGTCCCAGGATTCCTGGCGCGGGCGAGCACGTGGGAGGGGCGGTGGGCTCGGCTAAATAGTCTCCATCGGCCATTTTGTAGGAGAAGCCGCAGCGCCGCCTCTTCTTTCGCGTCTTCGCAGCCGTCGCCGCCGCCTCTTCCTCCGCCTCCTCCCGGCTTCCGCCGCCGCCGCCGCTCCAGCCGCATCCCAGCCCCGGGGCGAAGCATTTCCTTATTTCCGTTTTCTCGCCACTGCAGCCTCCTGACACGGTGATCCGGGCGGGCCCCGCAGGAATTTTATCCCCTCACCGGCCTCACATTAGTATCGCATGTCCACTATCCAGAACCTCCAATCTTTCGGTAAGGCCGGCCGCCGCCGTCCCCGCCCCGCCCGCGGGCCCGCTCCCTGCCCTCCGCGTCCCCGCACCCCGAGAGAGAGGGGCTTTGTCTCGGCGCCCAGAAAATGGCGACTGGCCCCCCGGCGACCCCTCCCCGAGGACGGCCGGACCCCGGCGCTGCGCCCGAGCCGGCGGGGCCCCGACATCGCTGCGGCCCGCCGGCGACCCCGCGCCGGGCTCGGGCATCGCGTGCACGGCGTCCGGCCGCTTTTGCGCAGGTGTCGGGCCGCTTCCGAGAAGACGCCGAGGCCGCCGCTGTGCCCCCGTCTGCTCCCCTTCGTAGTCATTTGAAATGACGCCTCTGGATAGACGTGCACGCACCTCTGTGCCTGTGCATTTGTGCGGCCGCCGTTACTCTTGCACGGAGCCTGGGCGGTGACACGAGTGGGGTGGGCGTCTTTGCCTGTGTCTGTTGTCATCCGAATGAGGTCGGGATGACGCACGTTTTATCGTGGTCATAAAATGAAGGTTTGTAACGTTTCCTGTCTCACTAGGGGGCTATGCCCGACGGTACTGTTGGCCCCCTATAGCAAGGATTTTCTGTTCGGAGGTCCGTGGGCATGCCTATTTAAATGGTTCTGTTTTTGCGAGAGTCTCTTGGAGGTTTTATTTATGCCCCACCCCCACCCCTCACACCCCCGGCAAAAGGAGCAGCGGCACTAGAACCTTCTTTGCTGACCGTCTAGACTGTAGTGCAGCTTATATCTGCAAATGGCTTGCTGAAAGACCTTTTCTGCTTTTAATGTTTCTGTGTCCCTTTGCAGACCCCTTTGCTGATGCAACTAAGGGTGACGACTTACTCCCGGCAGGGACTGAGGATTACATCCATATAAGAATCCAGCAACGGAACGGCAGGAAGACACTGACTACTGTTCAGGGCATTGCAGATGATTATGACAAAAAGAAACTTGTGAAAGCTTTCAAAAAGGTAAAGGTGTTAGGGGAGATTAAAATAGAGATAGTGGTGCTCACCTTGAATTGGATTATGGTCCATACCTTCTCAGTATGGCTGGAAATGATTGGATCCAGGACAACTCTCATTCTCCTAATTAACACTCAGCTATTTATGTCTGGTCTCCCATTTTAAATTATGGTTCACATGGCCTTCAAACAATATGTGAAAAAATTTTGTTCTTGATGGTTCAAGTAAAATTATTGCCTTTATGTGACCTGCTGGTTCATTTCAAATTAACTTTGGAGTTGAGACAAACTTGTGTCTTAAACGTAGTCAAGCCTACTGAGTAGTTCATTGTAGTCTTATGGTGAAAATAAAACCTCATTGTATTTGACTCAGTCGTGTTGAACATTTACATACTTCTCCAGAAATTTGCCTGTAATGGTACTGTGATTGAACATCCCGAATACGGAGAGGTTATTCAGCTTCAAGGTGACCAAAGGAAAAACATTTGCCAGTTTCTCTTGGAGGTGAGTGACTGGGTGCTTCGTGTGCAGCCTTGAGATTGCTTTGTCATTAGCATGCCCTGATCTTTCCTGCATCTACACAGGGTGTTCTATGGCAGGTCAGGTATTCAAATGTGAGTTGAATTGTTTGTTAACAGTTGATGCTACCAAAAAAAATGTTGCAATAAGTTATTAACAGTGATTCTTTTTAATGGCTGCTTCATGTTTTCTTAGGGGTGAATTTATATGTTCCTTAGCGTGATTCTGCTAAATTAAATTTTATTTTGCAGGTTGGCATTGTCAAGGAGGAACAGCTGAAGGTTCATGGATTCTAAAATGAACCTAAGTACGTGGAGAATTTCTTGAATAATTTTATCCTCTAAATCCAGTTTGGCTACCTTGTGAAATGATTCTCTGCAGTAAACGGACTTTTCATTTATTTAATTCTTCAAACTTCCATTCACATCTGCATGATTACAGAAAACATGGGGTATGTAGGCTAGTAACACATAAGAAAATTGCAGTAAGATGGTAACGAAACCCCGTATTCATCTTAACATGTTTCCAATGGAAAATATTTTGTTTTGAGTGTTTATTTGTTTATTGTTCAGTTTATTACTTTTCACTTGATTAAATGTTTTTTTTGTTGTATTAAACCATGTATGTTGCAGCTTAACAATAAAAAAATCTATGAATTCTTCTGTGAGGAGTTAGGCTCTTTAAGCAAGTAAAGTGCACATGTATTTATTTTTCACAATTGGCATTCTCATTCTGTAAGCTTTCTAATTAGCTTCAGCGCCTGTAAAATCCAAAGTTAGAAGATCATTTGTTACATGTAGCCTGTGTTCTTCATTTACTTAAAAATAAGAACAGAAACAAGGAATGTAAACTCAGCCAGGGCAGAGAATCTGCCAGAGTATAGTGTTAAATTTTTAAAAATAATACGAAGTAGCCCTGGCTGGGTGGCTCAGTTGGTTGGAGCATCTTCCCGTACACTAAAAGGTTTCGGCTTCGATTCCCGGTCAGGGCACATTCCAAGGTTGCAGGTTTGATCCCTGGTCGGGGTGAGTACAGAAGGCAACTGATGGATGTTTCTCTCTCTCCCTCCCTCTCTAAAAATCAATGAAAACATATCCTCAAGTTGAGGATTTTAAAAAATAATAATGTGAAGTATAATTTAACCTGAAGTATTAGCACATAGAATTCTTTTTTATATGCTTTTGTTGGGTATGTTACTACACTGCCAACATAAGTATTCCTAAGTGACAGATAATGTGGTAGGCTTGTGACATAAATGTCGTCATAGGCACTGCCCTTCAAGTGTGGGTGACAGTGATACCACCTTACAGCTGGAAGGCATTAGGGTCTGGGTTAACTTCTCCTGAGTGCTAGAAAGTGACGGAGTTGGGCGCCAGCCCAGTGCTTCTAGCCAGAAAAGCCGTGTTTTTCCACGGCATCGTGGTTTTGGTGTGTTTCACCAAAGGAAGTGAAAGCCATGTGCGATCACACGTGGGGGTTGGGTAGGCAAGAAATATGATTTGCAATTCTTACTCGAGATTTCTGCAGCTCATCTTGAGTTTCAAACTTCTGCTTCATTGAGTAGTAATTATTTGTTCATTACACAAGCCATGTCATTAAAACACAGCGAAGACAAAATGCAACCTTAAGTGCATACTTTTTAGCTTAGTACAGTGGGATGATGATGGTGTAGAAAATGTCTGTCACTTGGTTCACTGCATTTTGTACCCCTTGATCCTATTTTGATGATTCTGCTTTTCGGGGCAGGGGGGTCGGTCCCCAGAGACTTTCCTCTTAAAGACACTTATAGGTATGGTTACTTCTTACCTGATCCGACCTCCAATCAAGAGACATTGAGACTATTAAGCAAGTACACCAAAGTAGAATGCCGAATTTGGTAAGTTCCTTTCTGATAAACATTAATATAATTTGACCAAAAAGATCAAGATGTGTGGGAGAATTTTCCAACTCACTTCTGCCTGTAACATTGTGTAACGATTCCACCTCTCGTTGAGAGGTGCAGTGGAAATGGTTTCTGAAAATGATACAGCAGACACATTAAAGCGTTGCTGCCTCCTACTGAATCACCTGCTACTGTGAGGCCTGAAGAAAGAGGTCGAGTGGCAAGGGAAGCCTTGTAGGTGGCAAGGATCAGACCGTCATCTTGGCCCCATCGGTAAGCTCTAGGTCTCCACTCAGTGTCAGGCCGCTCCCATTGGGTGGGATCGAAGGCCTTGCGCAAACTGGGTTTTGTGAGGAGCACCCCTCCTGATCCTTCAGCCTGTGAGCCTGACACCAGCTTGGACTTGTCCCCTGTAGGGCAGTCCCAGACCATAGAGTAAGAGCAGATTATGCACCCTCTCCTTGTCTTTGAGCAGTGCAATGAAAATAACATAATTAAGGATACACATTTCTGCAGTTTTACCAAAGCAGAAGTTAGTATATCCCCCTTGTGTGGGAAAGCCGACCGGGAGCCTCGGGTGCCTAAGCATGGGAGCAGGGCTAAGCGCCCTTGTCCGCCTCGGGCTAAAGGGCTTGGCAGTGTGGAATGGGAAGGAAAACATTTATTTAACCAGTGCAGCAGAAATAACTACCCGTATTTCCCTGTGCCTCCCATGTGGGAAGATTTTGATATTCACTTAAGTGATCTGTATTTTCAGGGCACAAAAGATACCAAGTAGAGAATCGTCCCTGAATTTTGAGACTGTAGAAGTCTTGGCAAAGCCATTAGGAAACGTGTTCGATTGAAGCACAGCCTGGTATAAGGTGCACTGGCAAGGATGTCCTGTGCTCTCGAGCCCTGGCCCGCTGCAGAGGGAGGCCTGGGAAGCAGCCTGCGCGGCCTGCTCGGAGCTGGTTGTCGTGTTCTCTGAACCGGCCTGGAAATGCTGGATACGGTCCTGTGGAAGGAACAGTTCGAGTCCCAGGCAGGGTAGCAGTTGACAAAAATAACTTGAAAAATACAGAATGGTAACACTTCTGTGTGCCACCTGGCACCAGTTGGGCCCCTGCTAGAATGGGTGAGTTAGAGTTCAGGAAAAAGTCATCCTCATTAGATCGCCCACACAGACCCGTTCCATTGGGCCTGGCAGGGTTCCCTGCACCGAGCCAGAATTCCACGTGGGAAGGAGCGAGGGAGGCGTGGTTCTGCTGTAGCTAAAAGCAAGGGAATCCTCATTCGCAGTGGACTGCAGCCAGCTGACCTCACCTGACAGGCAGGTGATAGCCAGGAGACTGCTTGTCTGGGACCAAGTGAATGAAGCAGGAGCAAAGCCACGTCGGGGCCCTCAGCTCGGCTCCTTCCACGTGCTGTGCCAGCATTCAATCCCTTTTATCTGGACGATGGAAGCTTGGAGAAGAGTCACAAATTGCGAGAAGGGGTGGTATTTCTGCACTCCTGGAACGCCATTTGGAGTGGAATTAGTGCCAGTAGTGGAGGGAACGCCAAACTGTCCAAGCAACACGGCTCAGTGACGTGGCCCGTGGGGATTCGGTGACCTACATGCAGAAGCTAATGGCAATTGAGCCCCAGCACTGGCTCCTCAGTGGGTTGGAACCTATCGGGAGGAGCCCTGGAGCTGCCATGGTCCGTGGCTGTTTCCAAACCCGAAGGGCATGATCTGGATCAGGGCAGTATCTTCATCTCAGACTTACTCATGCAAAAAGGAATCGCACAGAGATAGGCACCATTCCTTCAAGGCACAAACGGGGACTCAGGTTCAACGCCAAAATCCCCTACGGGGAATCTGCCCCACCCTGGAGAGTTTCCCAGGGCCTCTGGGCCTACAGACTAGTCTGGAAAGCTGGCTGCAACCCTGGGGCTTGTTTCCATGTGTCCTTCACCCACTCTTATCAGGACCCCAGGACCCTCCTCCTCAGTCCATTGGACAAGAAACAGCACGCAGTCTGGAGAGCAGAGAGAATCAGACAGTACTTTCACCCACTTCAACCATGACAAGTCCTGGGGGGACAAAGGATTGAGAGAGAAGCGTAAAACCTTGAGGTAGGAGAAAGACCCATTCACTCCCTGATCACAGAGGTCCACTCAGTGCTTTATTGCCATTGACATGTTAGATGAGACCGTGGGAACCACTCGCAACATACCTGACACACCAAGATCGTTGAAATCAAACAGCATCGGGTACCCAAGGAACCATATATTAAGGATTGAAAGGGGGCAGGTGTGATTAGGGCAGAGACGTAGTCCTTTAACACCCCCTTGTGGCCACTTAATAAACGAGCTAGCTCCTGGCAGTTCACAGTGAATTATGGGAGGTCTAAGTTGTTGCAGGCGTCATCCAAGCACCAGCTGACAGGTTTCATTTTGTCACCCCTTGCATATTATATAGAAATTGATCTAGGCAGCCGTTTATTATGGAAATCCATAAAAATCTATCACGATTTGTTTTTACATGGGAGAGACCAGAAAACACTTTAACAGTCTTGCCCTGGAGAAAGATAAAACCACCTCACTTGCGATCTACCACGATGTTATTAGAAGGAATTTACTTCAAATGTAAACACAGACATCTGTTTGCGGCCTCCAGAGACTAGGTGATTACACTCTAAAACAATCAGGGCTCCTCCTAAACTGTCACATGTTGAGGACACAATCTGGAATCATATACTGAGTACGTAGCTTTCTCGATCTGAACCTCTGTTTTAGGGCAGTGTGCAGGTTAACGTGCCATGTTACCTACTGGAGACACACCCACTGAGGGTCGTCGGAGATGAGCAACTTCTGTTTGGGAAAAGAAGTAACAACTCCCTTAAAGTCCCTAAGTCCACAATACAGGCACACCTTAGAGATAGTGTTTATTTCCAAACACCACAGCAAAGCAAGTCGTGATCTTTTTGCTGGAGGGTCTTGCCTTCGATTTGTAAACAAAACAAAACAAACACAACATCTGTGGAGCACAATAAAACAAGGCATGCCTGTACGTGAAGCCGTCCCATTAGTTCTGATGGCTCAGAAGGCCAGGCTTAGTGATCCACTCGCTGGGAGAGCCTGGGGCAGAGCTCAGCTTCATGAGCAGGGGGGCCTCCTGGGAGCCCATGGTACCCTGGAAATTGTACTCGAGGGATTTGATTCTACCTGAGTCCATGTCAGCATCGCAAGATGGACGATAGTCGCAGGACCAGGGAATTCCCCAGAGAGGTATTTGGAGGTATTTCTTTAGAAAATTTGCTTTCAAGAGTGAGAGCTAAAGTGGAATTTCAATCATCTCTTTACAAGCCGGGCCTGCAGAATCCTGGGGACTAAAACAACACACCAGGTTGGTGGCAGGGCTGTCCCGCCTTACTAGTCACCTCTAGAGAACAAAGAGTGAACTTTGACCCTGAGCTACTTAATCTCTGCAGCATTGTAGTTACAGCTCCTCTTTTATACTTGCACCTTTTCTCTTTCTATTTTTTTCCTTGATCAGTGTTGCCAGAGGCTTATCAGTTTTTCATTGAAAAAAAACAACAACTTTGATCCTCCCTATTATATGCTTATTTTCTGTTTCATTAACTTCTGCCCTTTATCACTGTCTTCCACTTTCTTTCTGTCCTTTTTGTAGCTTCTAAAGTTTAGATGCTTAGCTCATTAGCTTTTAACTTTTCCTCATTTCAGTGGGAAGCGTTTAAGGGTATAAATCTCCCGTGCACAGCCCACACACAGGTTTTGATAGTACTTTCATTATCATTTGCTGAGAAACTTGTTCTAGTTTCTGTTAAATTTGGCTTGTTGCTCT